TGTGAAACTTTTAAGATGATGTTTTCATAATCATTTCTTCTCAAAACTATTTTGTGATGTCTGTCGACTGAAAATTCTTTCTAATTGAATTATGTACAAAATATATATTATTATATAAATGATATATATCCAATAATAAACTAGTATTATAACATTTGTTGATCTCTCTGAAAAAATAGATTATTATTTACTAATTGATGTAGCTCTAATCGTTAATTGTGATATAATAAATGTGGGTCCAAATAGAAATCATTTAATATATATACATATAATTATGTTCGTTTTTATTTACACAATTATTATATAATCTAAAAACCCATAACTTCTTTTAAAAAATATAAATATTATATTTTATCTTAAGCCTCGTTAATTATTTTTCTCCGAATCTAATATCGATAGATCCTTCTCCACCATGATAAGGAGGAGATTGCGTTTGCATGTTATTAGGAATTTCCGTTGTGGTCGGAAGTGGTGATGATACTTGGTTATTATCAGTCTTTCCAGTTTCTTGAACGATAATAATCGGTTGAGTCCAACGATTTCCGTGTTGATGATGCTCTCTTTGATGTCCTGGTGGAAGATTATGCCATTGCCACCACGGTCCTCTACCAGGTACTGTAGACTGTTGTTGTTGAGTGTCATCGGAAGCAATAATCATCTACAAAACATGAAACATATGTGTTTCTCAAATTGCATTTACATTCTACCACGAATATAATTCGTATGCATATGACATCCCGCAATTTTTATTCTTTGCAATATTTTTCCTTAATTTTGGGATACCTCAAAAGTCATTCCCAAATATTTTTTAATGTCAATGAATTAGGTAGAGAGATCAAGTATCATTTCTCTCTCTATTTTTGTTGCAATATAAATTTAAAAAATAATCAATTTATAAAAGAATTTTTGCCGAAACTTAGAAAATATCACCATAATACATACTATGTTCTTTGTCTTCGGGCTTTGGCACACCCATTCGACATTAGAAGCGTATCCATTATTTGGAATCTGCATCTGTTGCGGATATGCCCAAGGTGGACCGCGGCCAGGATTTCCATTATTTCCTCTTTCCATTTGGACAGGATAACTCACCCATCCCGGATATGCTTCAATCTCGATGACTATGAATAATGCAACGGTGAATAGCAGTGCTTTCATCTTCTATCGTCTAAAGGAAAAAAATTCATGTAGTATGTATATATGATATGTCATGTACATATATGTGATAAGTACATGATTTCGTAATCAATGTGCGAATTTATTTTTGCGTGATGCGCTTATGTATTCGCGTTAAAATTAATAAGCACTCATAGTAATTCGCATTTAATAAATTAATTAATAAACGACTTACTTTAATATATCAACTATAAAATAATTTGCAACGAAAAATTATTTATTTTGTTAATAATTACACAAATATCAACGAGTTCATATATTATGTAGCACTTTACAAATTTTATAATTTTTACGAAATTTTGTTGTGTAATGAAAATATGCAATATTTTCACTTATATACAATTTAATCGCGAATAAGATAGAATAATCTTTTAAATCCGTAGATTGGACATATCTTTACTCGCTTCACTCAGGATGAAACTAACGCGAAACCTGCGGAGAAACAGTCGGAAAGCCGCGATTAACGGGAGGAAAAAACGTATTTGTGGCTAATGAGTCGACATCTCGGCGTAATTTCCTTATATAGCGATTTATTAACACGCACACGCGAAGCTCCGTTCTTTCGATATCCGTTTGAATCGATTAACATTATTGACCGTGGGCGAAAGAGAGAGAGAGAGACGGGAATTTCGAGTCACAAATAATAAATACGTTACGACGCATTCGTGATTTAAACACGTGATATAAAACGGAAGAAATGACCCGCGCTATTAAACTATTAGAATTCCCTCTCCCTCTCTTTTGGCGATTCATCATCGTAATACCGGTTTGGAATTTTGTGCGAACCGGTATCGCAAAATTACACGAATCACCTCGACGGCTGCCACTGTCATTAAGCATCGAATTACAGGACGCCGCGAGCCGGCGGCCGTCGCGGAATTATTGTAATTTATGTCACAGTTCATCACCACGCCGTCATCGTACGTCCAACGTTATACGAAAGGTCAATGAATGTCGCACTGAATACGTCATACGATTTTCCTCCCTAATTTACAAAACAAATGATTTCTTCGTTCTATATACGCCGATTTCATCAATTGTGAATTCAATGGAAGAATGAATCGATGCTTCTCACTCATATTCTATTCAAATGTATCTCAATATATATGTATAATTTTATATTTACTTACAATTTTGATAACAAGATGAAACTATCTATCTAATATGATGCCGATTATATATATTATATCGCGTAATTATAGATCTCGCTCATCATGAAAGAAAGAAAAATCAAAGCTTCGGTTTATTAAATTGCTATTTCAATGTTTTATCGACTTTCAAAAATTTATATTTTTGTGATTCGGATTTTCGAATTTTAAAAATGCTTCGAATCGTAATTCATCAATTTTGGAAAATTTTTGGAATTTTAGATGGTGCAATTTTTATTAACTTTTAGAATGGAATTTTTATTCCAATTATTGGAATTATTAATTCCTAAATTCCCTTCCTTGGTTTGTATAAATTTAGATTTTCATATTAGCTCCAAAGTTATGATATGATCAAATGATGTGTGGGAATGACTATTGCCCTAAAATGAAAATATATAATTCCAATGTGGCTTATTCATTAACGTAATTTCAATTAATTTTAAATATCGTACTTCGTAGCCTTTGTAATCCTTTTGCAAAAGGAACTATTTTAAGCGAATTAATAATCTCATTTCAAGATTATTAATTTTAATTAATTTTTAAAAATATTTTCTCCAATTAATATGTACATATTAATTGGAGAAATAATAAAATATAATAGTAAAGTAAGTAATTGAAAAATTTGTCCAATATAAATAAAAGGTGGCTCAATTATACTTCTGTTCAAGTTAATAAAATAAAACTTTTAATGATAAATATTCAAACTATAATATGGTTAATTAGGTAAAATTTAATGTTAATTTTATGGGTTGTATTGGAAAAAAGTAAAAAATAATAATAGAAAATAGTAATGCTATTACCTCTCCTCAATTTGTTTGAAATTGGGCGTAAAATGCAAATAGAAAATATCATTCTAATTAGAATTGATATAATTATTAGCTGGAAATTATCTAAATCTCCAAATATGTATGTTCATTGAAGGAAGTGTAAGTTATAAATCCGGAAATGTCTTTAAAAGTAAAGTAAATATGAAATGGGATTTTATAAAGATCTCTGTTTTTACTGGATTCCAGGATTCCTTCCGATAAAATGTCGTATATACAGCTGCACATGCCGGCATACTCGAGTAACTTCAAGTAACAATTCCAGTCGCCAGATGGAACTACCAGAACGAATTACCGTAACATTAGAACCGGTCACGAACGGCACTCTTCGACAGAGAAAAAACTTAGCAACTCTGAGTCAGCTTACATCCGCCTTCGGGGAAGAGATTTTGAGCGCACGGGCACGCTGATCATATTTCTGTTGGATTCAGCAAATTTTTCAGAGGTTTAGAAAAACAAAAAATATTAAATTTCGCCTTCCTGGAAAATTCCACCTCTCCCTTCTAGGTATATCTAAATTATTTTACAAAAATAAATTATGTAATATTTTGAGGAATATCAATTTTCTAGGATTTTTATTTATCTATCTATATATCTAAACCTACAATATATATTTTATTTGTATATATTTAATTTATTAATTTAAAAACTATGAATCGATTCGCAAAGCGATATTATTGTCACATTAAAGTGTTTATAATTCCGAATTTTGCGCTCTTATCGCGGTTATTTTCCACAAATCTTCCATGGATATCGATCGCTTCTTTGTTTTTGCCGGCGTTCTATTTTTCTTCTCTTCGACTGGGGAACGGTCCAATCGACCACGGTCGTGTTCCGCGGCCAAAGTAAAACGAACACAAGGTCTTCAATGAACGAAAACACTCTTCGTCGAGGAGTGTGGTCGTTCGAGAACCATGTCTCGATGTCGCCGTAAGAAACGGGCCCCTTGGATTTTTCGCCGCGACTTATCGCAAGCTCTATCGCCGATTCCGATTTTCGAGTTCGAGGAAGCCGCGCTTGAATCATCTGCATTAATTCGTCGTATCTCCAACTTCTCATTTCTATTTCTTTTTTTCCTTCTTCGTCTTTTTCGTTTCGATACGCGCCACGTATGTATATATAGGGGCTCTCGGACTTAATGCGTCTCTTATTACCGCGCGCACAACTATTGCCTTCCTAATGAACACCGTAATTTATAATGCGTGGCGGCTGCTTTTGTCGGTTTATTGGGCGCGGAAACCAGAGACACTTCAAAGGCCTCCCCTTATCATTTGTGTGTCACACACATTATTCGAACGGCTATCGTCGGGTCATCGATCGGGATTTTGTAATTCGGTTATTTGTGCCCACAAATTAAATCACGCATAATTATACGCGATATCTTTCCTGAGCGATAATTAAACGGCCAAAGACTGCCAATTAGTATGGCGTTCCGATATTAACAAAGTTTCAGCATCTATATAGTAGTGAGTTTCGTATCGTTTTTGTCCTATATTATTTGAATTCGTAAATCGTCAAACCTTCTCTGCAATATTTTAAATCGCAATATTAAATATGAGAAAATGAATAGAGAATAGAAAATAAAACGATAATGTGGTTTTAATGTATACGCCAATATAATACAATTATTCTACGTTAGAGACGAATCAATATCTCATTATGGATTCGATGATATTGCGAAAAAAGAAAATTCTCGTCAAAGGCCATAGAAAATCATTGCTGGTTACGGGAAACTCCTCTCTCTCTTTCTCTCTCTCTC